GGCCGGCGCAGGAGATTAATTTCTTCAAAAGCTTTATGTACGGGCAACAGAAGTAACTACCTGCTAGCGCTTTTAATTCTATTTTTAGGCACGCGGTCTGTGCCTTGTGTTTTTTGCTCCGTGCTGCAGCGTGGAGACTAATTTTTTTTTGTATTAAATAAAGCAGAAAGACTTCATCGGTTACAAGTTGGGATAAAGAAAACGCAGAAACAGAATGGATTGTAAAAGGAGGAAGTGAAACCTCTTTGGAAACACAAAGTTTTCTTGACGTGTGTGGGTTTACTAATAGAAAATATTTTACTAATGTTTTGATGGCTTTGGCTTTCGTGAGAACTTAAAATATATAAAACCTTGGCAGCATGCTGAGTCCTTGCTGAAAGATGGCAGCGTAGACTAGCAGTAATTATATAAGGTCTATAGACATGTCTCTCTAAGTTTCAGTTGACTGTATCCTGAAGGCTTATCTCTCTTGTAGGCAAGTATTGAAAAACAGACTCTTAAATCTGAGAATATTCTGAAAGGAGTTAAAGAGCTGCATCTGCATTAAAAAAATCTAATAGTTTAAAAAAAGTAGATATAATATGTGCTAGGTATAAAATAAGTGTTTGAAATACTTAAAAGTTGTCGATTTGTTTTAAGCAAAGCAGAAAGAAAAATTAATGATTCAGCTGGCAGGTGTAGTATTCTGTTGCTCTCTGCAAAAACATCAGTAGCTGTTTTGGTCTCCTGAAGTGGGCTGGTTGTGTGGATACAGAGCAGGACCGATGCTTTGAGGGGGGAAAGACTGAGTGATGAAGGCAGTAAACTTAAAGGCGGTCTTCTGCTATTAGGCAGATGACAACTTGAAGATGGTCAGCTGAACTGAAAGCTTTTCAGAGATTCCTTTCCCAAGGAAGTAATTTAAAAATCTGCTGTTTCTAATACTGCATTGGATTTACTACCGTAAGAACCATTCAGACTACCGAACAGTTTATACTAATGGTCATACAGGATCTAGCTAAAAGTGGTTGCATGACAGCTAGGTTATAAATGTAGTATTCAATGCAAATTCAGCATTTATGCTTGAGGTGTGACAGTTTGTGGTCATTCACTTTTGGTGAGTTGATTACTGTCCCTATACTTCCTATTTCACCCGAAGGTTGGGGAAATGGAGCTGTTTTCTGTTTTGCACCTTCATATGACAATTTCTATATACTTTTGGGACTGCATCTCAAGAAGCTTGTTCAAGGATATGCATAAACATTTTTAGCTTGTCAAATACTTAAAGCAAGCTGCAGGGACTCTGGGGAGTAATGCTTTGTGACATAGAAGGCTTTCCTCTTTCACAACACTGTTAGTCAAAGCACTTGAAAGGCCTGGTGTGCTAGATTTGCAAGTTTTAGGCTGTCTCCTCAGTTGATGCATCTTGGTTACTGTCTCAGAATGTAACTGCTCAACCATGATTTATGTGAGGCAGTTTTCTGCACACTTGTGCCACCAAGTGTTTAAAAAAAAACAAAAACCAAACCACAAAACTATGACTGATTCTTCTCTTGAATCTAAGGATCCCAAAGTAGTTGTAAACACCTCTGAAGTTAAACAATTCTTTCAGCCAGTAAAACAGCAACAATTTATGAAAATGTAAAAGTGAGTATGACTGTATACAGCAAGTTATGGTGCTCAACTACAAAATTTTTAGTCATTTGACTGTCTTCTAGTAGGAAGTCCTTTCAGTTCTTCCTACTACCCAGCACTGGAAATTAGCGTAAGATTTGAAGAAAGAAGGAAACTGTGGTCAAAAAAGGTACCTTTTTTCTTTTGACTATGTCGCTGTGATTATTTATGGTTACAAACGGGTTTCATAAATAACAGGTTATTCTTCCCAGTCTGTTTTCTTCAGGTCCATATTTCCATAGAAGTACCTTAATGTCAGAGTCCTCCCAACTGTTTGTAATGCAAATTCTGGTTTTGCATCATATTAACAAAGTACTTTAAATCCTGTGTGTCTGCACTCTCTGCTAATTTACTAAGTATTCTTTCTTGGGTGTGCAGCCCCATCTGTTATAACGTCGACACTTTCCCACTTAGGACAAACAGAACTTGACAGAGGAAAACTGCTTGTTACTCCATGGCTCTTCTGGAATTCCACTGTATTCAATTTGCGCGTTATCAAACTAAAAAATTGCACAAGTTTAACTTATTCAGGTAGTTAATGTTGGTCTTTTGTAGTTGCATTTAAATTTCTCTCATTATTTCTAATGATAATAACATGTACATTTATCTATAATTCCATTTAAAAATTAAAGTAGACATTTTAAAGAATTGTATTCCTGCTTAAAAGACTGTTAACTTTGTAACAAAACATCTGGATCATGTGGGAGTGAAAACATTAAAATCTGTGAGCTGTTAGCTGACCTTCTAGCATATGATTGTTGTGTTGTTACAAATACACAAAGTACCTGCAGAAAAAAATTCTGTACACCAGAGGTATCCCTGCCCTCATTAACATTTTTAACTCCGTAAGGTTTTTCTTGAAGTAAGGGATGTTAAAATAACATCTGAAAAAGCTCAGAATTAAAAGATTGGATTATAGTCTTGCAACTGTAGAAGATGTTGAGTCATAAGCCTCATTCTCACTGGGGTTCTGTCTCCGCTGCCTTTGTCATTGTATGAATCAGTATGTTGGCTTTTGAAAACTTCATTTAAAGTGGAATATTTTCTAAGAGTACAGTCAGTCTTTATTGGGGGATCAATGAGATGATTTTGTTGGCAGTTGAAATGCAGAATCTGTCATACGCTGTTATAAACTCTGGGACATCCTGGAGTTAGAACTTGACTGCTGTAATTTCATCAAATAACTGGTTTTCTTATTCTAAACTCATCCTCGAAATGCTTAATCTATCTCAGCTGGGTAACATGCTGTTTGTAGATACTGCTATAGTTGATGAGTCCTCTTGGATAGGAGAAACACAACAAAATGTGCTGGCATAGTAACTTGTGGCCTCAGTACAACTTTCAGAAAAGAGAGAAATGAGGTGGGGCAGGAGAAACAGCAGTGACACAGGTTCCAGAAAATGTTGGGTTGAGTTCCATATGAGACTGCTTAAGCGTTATTTGTTAAAGGAGAAAGGAAAAAGTGCAGAAGGAAAGGGAAAGATCAGTACTTTACTAAGCAGAATTTCTGATTCTTTTCTTTTTCTTTTTCTTGCAGCACAACACTAAATTTGTAATGAGATGGAGTCTGGGTCAAGCTCTTTTCGAGTGGAATTTCCAGATTTTTCTAGCACCATTTTGCAGAAGTTAAACCAGCAGCGCCAGCAAGGACAATTATGTGATGTGTCCATTGTAGTTCAGGGCCATCTCTTCAGAGCCCATAAAGCTGTTCTTGCAGCTAGTTCACCTTACTTCTGTGATCAGGTTCTCCTAAAAAACAGCAGGCGAATAGTCTTGCCTGATGTGATGAATCCCAGAGTATTTGAAAACATTCTTCTGTCTACTTATACAGGTCGGCTGGTAATGCCTGCTCCAGAAATCGTTAGTTATTTGACAGCAGCAAGTTTCCTTCAGATGTGGCATGTAGTGGATAAATGCACTGAAGTGCTAGAGGGGAACCCAACAGTTCTGTGTCAGAAGATGAACCATGGCAGTGATCATCAGTCTCCGAGCAGCAGTAGTTACAACGGCCTTGTTGAAACCTTTGAACTTGGCTCTGGAGGACAGACAGAATTCCACAAAGTGCAGGAACTAAGGGATGGCGAAAATGAAGAAGAAAGCTCTAAAGATGAACTGTCATGTCAACTGACAGAACACGAGTACCTTCCCAGTAATTCTTCAACGGAACATGATAGACTTAGCACTGGAATGACAAGTCAGGATGGTGAAGAAGGAACTAGTGATAGTGCAGAGTATCAGTATACCAGACCTATGTATAGCAAGCCCAGCATCATGTCTCACAAGCGGTGGATCCATGTGAAACCAGAAAGATTTGAACAAGACTGTGAAGGTGTTGATAATCCTTATGATGAACACCAAGTTTCTGAATCCATGAATACCATGCAGGCAGATCATTCAATCCAGTCTTCAGGTGTTGAAGACTTTCACATAGGTGACAAAAAGATGGAAGCAGAATTCGATGAACAGGCAGACGAAAGTAATTACGATGAACAAGTTGACTTCTATGGCTCTTCTATGGAAGAATTTTCGGGTGAAAGGGCAGACGGAAATTTAAGTGCTCACAGACAGGATCTTATGATAGCAGCAGGCTATGGTGAAGGCATTGAAATGGCTACAGGAATTAAAGAAGAAACGTCCCTCACTGGATTCTCGCATGCTGATAAGCTGTATCCTTGTCAGTGCGGTAAAAGCTTTACACACAAAAGTCAGAGGGATCGGCATATGAGTATGCACCTTGGTCTTCGACCTTATGGCTGTGGTGTCTGTGGTAAGAAATTCAAAATGAAACACCATCTTGTAGGCCATATGAAAATTCATACAGGCATAAAACCATACGAGTGTAACATCTGTGGGAAAAGGTTTATGTGGCGGGACAGTTTTCATCGGCATGTGACCTCTTGTACCAAGTCATATCAAGCTTCTAAAGCCGAGCAGAGTACTACTGAGATGAACTAAGACATTAGTACTTATATTCGTTTAGTAGAGTAAGCAAAATAAACTAATTATGCAAATAATGTCTGGTACTTGCTATTGTAAATTCTCAAAAAACCCAAGTTTTAGTGATTATGCTGGTATAAGCAGACCAAACTTTTATTTTCCATAGTATTACTTCAGGTGTTCGATGTGTGAAGTGCAAATGGTTAATCTGAAAGGTGCTTGCAAAATGAGGTCTGTAAGGTCTTTGTGACATTGATTGTAATCACAGCAGTATTTAGAAGCCCTGTTGTTTTTGTGTCTTCTAAATTCACAGTAAACCCCAGCTCTAAATTGAGCCAAATCCTGCAAATACTTACATGAAGCAGGAATTCAAGTAGCCCTACTTAATGAAAATGAAAACTAGCATGATCAAACCAGGTTGTATGATTCACATTTTAATGAAAATATTAGAATGCCACCTGAAGCTGTAGACTGCTGACACACTTAATATGCATCATTAGACAGCCTGCATCATTAAATAGCCTGTGCTGTATTGCTTAATGAAAGGCTGTGTTAAAGACAGTTTGGCTTTCCTTTTTGTCTTCATTTTTTATCCATCTTCAGTAAAACAAATGTCTAATTTTGTGCTGATTTATATTTAGAGTCTGTAGAGCACTTAAATATAGTTGAGCACTATATAAGCTTCAATCTATATTAAGAACAATTTGTCTTTGCTCCTCTAGGGTCTGATGCTGTATGACTCTTGGCTTGACTTGATTTTGATTGCTACATCGTGAGAGCTTGTAGAAGTGTGTGTAATAAGTATGTCTTTTCAAAAAAGAAAAGTAACATTTGGAACTTATCCAAAATAATCAAACATTTTAAATTGTAGTTTTCTGCTCAGATATTTGTGGCTTACTACAGTAGCAAGTACCAAACTCTGTGGATTCACAAATGGACTTTTTATTGGTACAAAAACTTCTTCGAGAACTTCTATCTAGTTTTAGAAACCTGCTTTAGGAAAATGATTTAGTCATTGATAGGTATTTATACTTTTAATTCTTTACTCTTTGAATAGTAAGAACTATAATACAGATTCTTGGTACTGAACTACTGTGACTGTTTACATGTGATCACAAGCAGCCAGAGTTGTTTACCTCTTCAAATGAAGCTGCTTGTGGATAAAAAGTAGAAAGTATGGTATTTGGATCTATTAATGGTACTGCAGAACATGGTACCATGCTCATGTCCGAAGTCTGGATTTTTGCTGGGAAAGTGGCACTTCTGCTTCCTTGGGGTGAGGATCTATATGCTGGGCTCTCATTCTTGGAGATGGATGGAGGAGCGTTTGTAGTTCTGAGAGATGCTGCCAGCTCTGCAGGTAGAGTGAATGCATCAATTGTAAAGGTGGCAACAGGATTTGGGGGTTGAAAGCTTAATGCAGTCCTATGCAAAAGCAATTAACCCTTCTTTATAGTTTACTGAAACATGTTATAAAAAGGAAAGAGCCTTTAGAGCATACGTAGACTATAATAGAAATAAGTGGTGTCCAAGTACAGTGCTGGTAACACAGGGAAAAAAGTTAACCAGCACTGAAGGCCTAAGCCTCTCTGGCCCTAATTGTGTATTAGATACTGCAATATGCAGGCTAACGTACTCAAACAGATGACCCTGTATGGTGAAGCAAAACCACACACAGATAATTACTGTTCAGATGCTGTTTTGAACTCCCAGTTAGAAATTGTCATAAGATAGAACTGAACTGTATCCTGAATGTGAATGTGTGCTACAAGCTGGGAGTTTACTACTCAGTGGGCTGTAATTACTGTAACTTCTTTTCTGGCGTTCTACTTACAAACTTTAATTTTTTTAAGAGGCTCTTAATCTTCTAATGCTTCAGATATTTTTCATATAGAATTTTGTTAAAACAGATATTCCCAAATATGATGAACCCATTGCTGGCAATGGGCATGAATGATCAGCACCACAGAGTTCCTATTCTTAGCACTTAATTGAACTCTACAATATACCATGGGTGGCCATATATAACCCTTGTAATCAAGGTAGCTAAACAGGGATTTGCTCACTAACACTGTAACCTGCTTAATGTATAGAAGCACTTTGTATTTAAAAAAAAAAACACCATAAAACTTTATAAGTATGTTTTCTAAACTTAGAAATTATATTCCCTTTATGGTTTGTTTCCACACTGCTAACACTGTCTTTTTTAATATTAAAAAAAAAAAAAAATTATAATGCTTGCCTGTTTACATGAGTGTAGAGGAAAGGGTTCTTGCACTCAGTGGCCCTATTTTTCCATTCTCCAAGGCCTTACTACATACAGGGTGTCATTTCTGCAAGTACCATCATCACGTTTGAGGGAAGGTATTCTCATACTCATTTCAAGAACGATCTTGTGTATTACGTTAGTTCTCAACCCCTTTCAAATTGTCACTTCAGTGTTGCATAGAAAGGTTAAGCGTGCCTCTTCCCATTTAACCATAGAAAAGGCTGGTCAGAAACACCAGGCTGAAAACCATGGTCAGGCAAAAAATTATTTCTGTTAAACCTGGACCATCCTACAGAGCTGCCAGCAAAACTGTTTCTTTTACCAGCTTGGAATCACTTTTATATGGGACATTTCAAAGTTAAACATTACTCCTATTTGCAGTTAGACTACTTTGAAATAAAGCTTTAAAACAAAATGTACTGCGAGAGACACTTTACAGGTTTTATAACAGGTCCAGTAGATCATATTATAGAACCATGTCCTTTTTTAATGACTTGGCATGAATAGTAACGTTTTAACATTTGCCTGTTACTGTTTTACCCCATATTATGACGTTGTCTTGAAAGTCCGACAAATGTTGCCCCACTGATTTTGTAGCACTTGGCTTTCTGATGTTAATTTACATGAAACCAATTGATTGCAGGAAAATACTGATACAATTGTTACGAGATCTGGTTGAGAGGATTGATGATTTAAGTGAAGCTTGCGATACATGTCTAAAATCCTTTTGCTTATCACAGGCGAAACAGTTGCCCTGTGGTGTTTTTCCTGAATTTAATTTATTGCCCGTTGACAAACTTCTAATCATTGATGCAGGTATTGGGGGGAAAAAGATAACAAAAAACTACTTGAATACTTAAGGAAACATCTTTCCTCCTCTTTCCTCAGTCTCAAATCTAACACCTCTCCTCCCTGCCTTTGTAGTCTGTTTCCCTTGTTTTCACTGAGAGTTGCGCTCACTCTGTGCCAGTTCTTTTTGTGCAGTGACATCACACGGCAGGTTGGGCTCCCTCGTATGCATACCGGCTTGTCTGACGGTCTTCTTTTCTTAGTGGGTGTCCCCTGCTGCTCCAGGCTGGTCAGTGTCACAGCTCATGGTGACACCCGGCCACAGTCCCTTCAGGGATGTGCCTGCTCCAGCTTGGGTCTCCTATGGGCCTCCGTTACTTCGGAAGTGTACCTGCCTTGGCATGGCTTCGCTATAGGCCAAAGTCCCCTCAAGGTGAATCTCCTCAGGCATGGGGTGTGTCCTGTGAGTGTGTCTCTATACATGTCCTCAGTGTCTTCTCTGTGTGTTTTCCCAAGAGTGGCTCTTCAGTTTCTCTGCATGTGTTTCTTCCCCAGGAGTATCTTCTCCTTCTGTGTCTCCCTGCACCTCTTGCTAGCAGCTGCCACCCTTTCTTAAATACGTTTAAGCAGAGGCAGTGTGCACGCCTCTGGTTGAAGTTTTGGCATACAGTGGATTGTTTACATCAGTTTGTGCAGGCTAGAACCTGGTTCGACTAGCACAGGGCAGTGCACAACCTCTTGCCACACGTCACCCTTGCAGCCCCCTGCTACTGAAACCCCGCAATTCATGGCCAATACAGTTGTATGTAGTAAACCAAAATATGCAGATGCAGCTTTTGTCAAGCTCCTAATCATTGCTAGTGGAGTGGTCTTGTTCAAGATACAGGACATTATTTCTTGTTTGTGGGGAGCAGGGAAGCAATTTATATATGTATAAAGAATGCATATGTATATGATAAATTTCATTACTCTTCCCTTATGCTTCATCACCTTTAATGATAACGGCTTAGAAACATTTGTGCATTTTTACATTGCTCGCTGTTGGCTGTAGTAAAGCGAATGTCTTCTGAAAACCAGAATCATCATACACACAGGAGACTTTCAGAATTTCCTGCTACTGTGAAGCCATTCATTGTCCTAACAGTGGTAAGATACTGCAGCTAAGTTCCTTTTCATTCCATTTTGTAACTAAGATGTTCGTTACCATGGAATGTGTGTAACTGCCATTCTGAAAAATTCAACTATTAGCAGGGTTAGGATCTCTGCTTAGGTGTGTATCTGACCCTTTGGAGGAAGGAGGTTCCTATTTCACACACCACTGTTGGTTTTTTTGGTGGTGGTTTGTTTTTTTTTTTTTTAAAACATTATTTGATTTTATGGGTGAGCAGGTAGTTGTAGAAGGTGCTGTCAGTATAATTTTTGGTCTTAGATTTTGTCATCTGAGGTGTTTCTGGGGTTGAGAAACAAAACTTTGTCTTGTACCAAAAGCAAGGCAGATAATCAAAGGCTAATGTATTGGGTTCCTCATTATAAAAAGAATACATGATGTCCCTGTGTTATTGAGCCTGAAAGAATGGAGGCACGTCAGGTCTTGTAAACTGAACACTTTTGCATTGGTGCCGAAAAGGTAACCTGTCTCTGAGTTATGAGAGCCTTCAGCAGTATATTGAGTGTTTTGCTTTAACAGAATCAGAACCTTTCTCAAAGCAACAGAGGAAAGTTGGGGTTTTTTGTCATTTAAATGCTTTGTTGGATAGCTAGGCTTCTTCAGCTGTAAGCTGTAAACTGTCAGTGCCCTGGGGGAAGATGCTGGAAAACAAAACGGTATATTTTTAATGTGATTATATTGTAAGTTCCGATTTTTGCTTGAAGCCTGTGTCTGTCGATTGCTGCTCTTTTTTTTATTATTCATGGGATTCCATATTTCTTCCAGAAATGTAACTGTTTATGCAAGTCAAGTGAATCTTCCTTAATGAGCTATAAGTTTTTATTCTAAACAAGTCATTTATAATAGTAAATTTGCATATCTTGATATTTTGTGAGATGTTATGCCTGTATTGCAGAGGTTGGATAGTTTTGTCTATAAATATTGCTGTCCTACTTGTACAGCATGGTTTTAATTTAATGTTACTGTTCAATATTTTCTTCTTATAGAAGAGTCCCATGCCCCTTTTTGTATAACATGTTTTAATAAATGTTATCTGTCAACTTTGTAAATGTTTTCTTAAGCTTGAATGAAAGGAATGCATGTCTAGTACTAGTATTTAATATTTCACTTTTGCCAAAACGATAAGTGCTCAAACAAAAGTACAAATCCAAAAGTTGTTGATATATAACTTTATTAAATATATAAAGAAAAAGTGTATCTAGTAACGTGTCTTCTTGAAATATTGAGAACATGCCAGCCTAGCCTAAGAAAACACGAAACTAAAACCTGATTTTTGTAACACAGTAAGTTGATAACCTTGTGGAATTGGGCCCATTTCTTTGGTGCCTAGGTCATTAGTTCCCGTGTTAGTCCAAATTTATCAAACGGGGTTTATTCAAACTGGTTTTTGCAGAATGGTGATCTCAAAGCTACAATACAAAATGTACAGGCTGATGGGAGAGTTCCACAACACTCACCTCATAGTAGCAGCCGCCACTGCATGTCCAAAAAGCCTGCAGGTAAATTTGAAGTAGGTGCAGAGAACGTGTAGGGTTTTTTTTTCTTGTCTAACTACTAAAGAAATTTCATACTGTGGGAAAGCATTCAAGATTGTTTCCATTACTTCCCTGCGAGGATTCCTCCTCTCCCTGACTAAATTTAGGTACTCTTACTGAACAATTTACTTTGCCCAGCCTCCATCTGTTCAGTCCTCATGGAACTGTCATAGCTGATGCTTCTTACTCGGCAGCTTAATGCTTGCTATCTAGACAAAAAATGAGCTCACTCATTTAAAGCATGTTCAGTGAATTCCTGGAGAAATCAATTATTTGTGTACCACACTCCTCAGTCTTCAGCAACTTTAAATGGTACAGGCAGATCCATTTCCTGTTGCTGTTGGTTACGCGTACTGAATGCCTGTAAGAACCAGCCCAAAGCACTCTGTATGTTCAGAATGAAGTCATTTGATTTTCTCCTATGGGAGTGAACAAATACCATTTGTGTGTCTGTTCTTTGACTTTGTTACTTATGCCCTGGTCAGGATAGTCCCCCGTGCTGCTACTTTTATCTGATTACCATTCAACATGTCATGTCCGAAGGCTGTCTTCCGTATGTTTTATAGGGAGAGAAAAACATACCCCCAGAAGACAAAATGAGATGCCCATCCAAAGTTAGAGCACGCGGCTGCCCCAGCAGCACCTGCTGGCACCGGTCGCTCTGGCCTTTATCAAGCACTACACAAACTGTCTGTTAAAACAGTGAATCGGTGCCCTGCGTGAACCACCAGCTGATGCAGGAGGAGCTCAAAAACCATCTGTGTGCTTGCTAAAGCAATGTATGTAAGTTATAAGGACAGCATAACACGGGCGAAATTTTCAATTCCTCATGCTGCTCAGTAGAGGTGGCAGTCCACAGCCAGGGGGGAGGCGGGTCCTCTCCCAGCTGCTTCCTTCCTGCATCTCTGCGCACCAGGACGGGGGTGGCAGCCGTTGTGCGCCCACAACTCGGGGACAAAAAAAATAGTGTGCTCTCAAAATCCAGGAGATGTGCCGTTCCAGAGAGGAATACCTCTGACTTACTATGAAGAGCTCAGCATTAATCTCTAGCGCGCGTTTTTTCATCTTTTGAAACTCGCCACCACGGCTACGTTTTCGATGGGTGTCTCGTCACGAAGCTAAACGCAGAATTCTAGGAACGGGATTTCCCTGTGCAGGCGCCGGCTCCAGTTGGAGCTTGAGCCGCCCTCGCCCTCGGCTGG